TTGAAATCACCCAGCCAAGGTGAAGATAACCTGGATAAGAGGGGGCAGGAAGCTTTGCCCACACCAAGTGGGCAACAAGTGAGTTGGGAACAAGTTCACAAGAACAGGACCTGAAACAAACTCCCCCTGCTCAAGGCCGTACCTGTAAGAGGTGCAAAACCTCCTCATCGCGTATGGCCCACGCTGCGTCTGGCCCAGTAACTAAAGAACACCTCCAAATCCCATCACCAGTCCTCAAAAACCAATTTTCAACAGTTCACCCCGACAGCTCCTTAAACCAACTTCAACAAGTCAACTTTAAACGTTATAATTTATTATTTTATAATACTAACAAAACGTTATATTGAAATATTATTTCAAAGACTGCTAACAAGATATTAACTGTGAGAGGCAGAGCTATGAGGCAAGCCCAACAGGCTTGCTCTTCTACCACCCAACTTCCACTTTATTTGCAGTGAAATGGCTCCCAGCTGCTCCCATTTTACAGACGAGGAAACAAAGTCCTCTGTTTTACAGCAGAAAATAAGGATTAGAGCATCAGCTAGATCTAAACCTTCCCCTCCAATTTTCTCCCACCTTTAAACCAAGCTAGAACACAACCAAAGATACATGAGAATGCCTTAAGTGCTTTGTAGTTCTGGCTTAAATATGTTGTAAGAACAGTTTACTCCTTATGTCAAACAGCCAGTACCAAACGAGTAGAATAAGCAGTATGGTTTCCGTTTCCTCAATTCTGGGCAAATATATGAGCACAGATGCACACATACAGTATTTAAAAGGCCTGGAAATAAACTGAGAGAAACCCGGCGCGTTGCTGAACAGCGGAGGGTATTCGCAGCAAGGAAATTCTGTCCTGCTGCATCAATCAACTAACTGCACTATGGCCAGGATTTGGAGCAGAAAGAGCAAATAGCCTTGGGATCACGGGATAAAAGGAACTGTGCGAGTGCAAGTTGTGTTCCCTTGCTGTCAGAGGAAAGAGTTGGCTTTGCCTGGATATGCAATAGCCAGGAACCATATCTTATAGTCAGAAACACTGTCCTGTTGGATATGGTAAAACCAAAGCAAGTGCAGAACTAGCCAGGACGACTGTACAGCCGGAGAAAAGTGTTAGCCCACCCTATAGGAAATACGCTCTCTCCTCCCCTCCAAGATTACAAATTAGGAAGAAAACAAAGAGCTTGGCAAAATACATCAGAAGGCATTTCTTTTTTACAGCAACTGTGACATAGCCTGCCGGTTTCAAATAGGCTCACGTAACACCATCTAGTTTTCCCTTAAATCGAAACTCCTAAGGCGGGCAGTGACACTTGCTACTATTAATACTCCTTTAACCAGCAGACGGTGTCAGCTCAGGCAGAAAGCAGCACATTTCCGAAAATAATAGCTCCAATCTGGCGAATCACACCTTTCTGTTTCGATGCTGGTACACCTCAGCATGACAAAAACCCACAAAAAAAACCACCCCATCCTGCACAGCACAGCTCATCCTGACTCAACACCCACCAAAGTCCCAACACAAAGCGTCTTCTATCAACTGCAAACCTGACAACCGAGCACTCTGGCTCTGGAAGGTACAGGACTGGTTTTCATGGGATATCCTTCCTAAAATCCCTGGAACCTGCAAGTAGCCAAGCACGCCAACCCTGGGCAAGGCAATGGCAGAAAGAACCAAAATAAACTTGCCTTAGAGTTTACGTTCATTGCTTTTCCACAAAACACAAGCTGTTTACCTTCCACATGCAAGCAGATCACTATCTAAGATCTTTACACTGAGGTCGCTGCAACATTCCTAGAAATACAAGTGGATTATTACGGGCTAGAGATTATTTTTGTTGTCATCGTTTTTTTTTCAAAACAAAGATAAAACAATTCTTACGGGGAAGAAGTAGGTGACATGCTCTACCATTAAAGCAGCTGTTAGGGGTTTCAAGAAGTCCTAAACTGCTTCAGGTAAGATCACACTGGGAATCAGCTTCATCATTTTGGGTTAGGAGAACATCCAAATCTTTTAAAAGAACTGGATTAGTAGTGCAAAGCAAGACGCTCAAAAGAAATGGAGATTAGCCTCTGAGGGCAAGATGGGCACAGGCAACAGAAAAGGACAAGCAAAAGAGCATGATTTCAGTGTTTTCAATGCTGAACCAACGGCTACCCCCTTTCATCGGCTAACAGCAATAGCACAAACACTAAGCAAAGTATTTTACATATGATTTCTTGGAATTATTTTAGGGAATTCCGAAGAAGTGACTGTAACAGTGAAAAGTATAAAAGAATATTCAAGAGTTTCCAGACTTTCACAAGAGCTCGTCCATCTGCTTGGGTAGCAAGCAGGAATCCAACTGCAAATCAGACAAAGGTTTAGGCGAGTTGGAAGCCAACTGAAACAATTGCAGCTTGCTAGCAGTTCAAAACAAGCCGAACCTTGAGACATCTAAGCTTCAAGGAACAGGAATGCAGAACGTATCGCCACCATCTAAAGACTGGTGGCAGAGACAAAGAACTGGTAGCAATGGGATTTCCCTGACACAAAAGCAGCTTGACAGACCACAGGCAGGGAGCTGAGCCACCAGCTGCTGCCAGAGCAGCTCTTTTAACTTTCCAGTGCCTCAACTCTGGTTTCTGATGTATTTTTTAATCTACGTGATTACCTGAGATGCTTCAAGCCAGACATAGCATGGCTTGGGTTTTTTTTGCCACCCACGGTTCCAGGGTAACCATCAGCATTCATTCCAGGGGGGAAAAAAAATAAAAATAAAAATCAAACTCTCCTTGAGCAAAAATGACTGCTTCTCAATGAAACCATGAAAGAGCAGTTACAGAAACCTCAATCATCTTCAAGGCTGCGTCAGCAAGCGATCGAGAAGGTCAAACTGTTGCTGAAAGAAAGACCAAGTCACTTCCTCCGTGCCGGATGTTACAGGGCAGGGGCCCTGAGCGTGAGTCAATGGCAAAAAGCAAACACCAACTGTGTATCTACAAGACTCCCTCCTTGCTTACGGATTCCACTTATGACTAAGTTCCCTTTCAAAGAACAAATGTTTTCCTAATCAACCGCTTCTGCACTGGAGTGCCACACTGAATCAACTCGAACATCATTTAAAGAGGAGGTGCTGGTGCACCTACTGATCAGCTACCGTTTCTGCTTCTGACCCTCAGACGCTAGCACGTCTCAAAGAAATTGAAGACAGCAGGGGAGGAGACTTCAAAATGCAATTGGAAAGATGAGTAAAGACAGTTTACAGTTTGAAGAAAATTGCTAAGCCACATTTTTAATATCTTACTGATTTTCAGACATGACAAACAACTTGCAAACACAGCAGCTTTCCAGCAGAAGAGACCATCGGTCTCTGTCCACTTTTCCCCCAGCCTTCCCCACTCTATTGCTCTTCCTTCTACTTCCTACCTGCTACCATTTACCCAGTATTAACTCTTCCTACCCATCCCCACTTGCCCTCCAGCAGGATTCCCCCCCCTCCCTTGCATTCTCCCACTGGGCCAAGCTCTACCCCTCTCCCACTGAAAACTCTTGCTCCCTAAAGTCAGATCTGGAGCTTGTGAGAAGTCCCATTTCCTAAAATGTCCTGCACAGATTAGATTTCCGACAGCATTCAAAACCTCAGTTAGTAAAAGTAAAAAAATTTTTTTTAAAAAAATGACTCCAGTACAGGCTGGATACCAAGCAGAACAATTTTAGGACATGAAGTCAGGCAAAATATTCAGGTTCTCACAAAAATCAAGTTTACACCTCCACACCTTGCAATGTATTCCTCCCTTACAGATTTTCTTCAAGCGCTGTAAGTGCTAGGGTATCAGTTGCAAAATGTGACCACCTTTGTGTATGGCTGATGCTATTTATACAGACAACGCTCAAGCAAAGTATATTAAAAAAATTAAGAACTGCATTCACTGTCATGGTGAGCAGTTGCAGCTTCTGATTTTGTTCTTCAACTGTTGGGTGGAAAACTCCCTATTGCTGAAACTAAAAAGATCGTCAGAAAACTTGGCAAACTCCCAGAAAGCTGTGCTAACGCTAATCTGTAATTACTGTTTTGATCAAATACCAGCAAGACCCCTATTGTGGGGAAGGTCAGCCACAGGTGACTCGAACACAGCTGTACCCAAGTAAGATTCAAGGCCCACTGGTCACTGAATTTTGGGCAGAATTTTCAATTAGCAATCCTCCCGTTAACGAATCAATGATGACAGCAGGCTTCAAGCTGCAGACCCAAGCGGCAAGCCAGTGCAGCCGCAGACAGTCAGTGAGTATGGCTCACGAGCCACGCTGCACCCACGCAGGTGACAGCCCACCGGCTTCAAACATAGCCAAGTCGGCTGCCAAGAGGAACGGAATGACCCGCTCCATGTCCACCGGAGAGAGGACAAATAGTCACCGACTCAAATTGCAGCCAGGGAGATTTAGGTTGGGCATTAGACAAAGCCTTCTAACAGGAAGGATAATTAAGCGTAGGAATAGATTGCCTGGGGAGGGACAGGAACTGCTGTTCCTGAAGGTTTTACAAGTGGTGGGAAACATCTGTCACGCTGACCCCACTTTGGGTAGGGGGTGGATTAGGCGGCCGTTCAAAGACCTGGCTCTGTTTTCTAACAACTCCCCAAACCCCCCACTGATCTCCAACTCTAAACTGTTCTGATCCAGGAGCTGACAAGAGCACAGAAGTAAGTTTTGTTTAGCATACAGTACTCAGGGAAGGCTGAGATTTAGAGCAACCAAAGGACACCTGATTACAGGCAGGGCCTGGGCAAGCCTCCTTGCACCGTTCTGCCAGGGTGCTGGCACCCACTTCCACCCCAAACAGGGGCTGCCATTGGGTAGCGGGTTCCACGCGTGAGCATGCAGCTAGCCAAAAGGCAGACTGATGCCCACCAAGCTTGCTCACAAGCCCACATCTTCACGCCCCAGATTTAGTCTGGCGCAAGGCAGCCCTCCTCCATCTCCTGCCCCGCAGGACTTTGCCAAGACAGACAAAACAAGTTACCTTTTTAACATTTTCCTCCTCCTCTTGGCGTTTCTCATAGTGTGAGAAGTCATCAAAGATGGAGGTGGTGTGCTTGTAGGTGGCAATGATTTTCAACACCTGCTTAGCCTTTTCCAGAGGCACCTCCTGAGTGTCCCTGGAGTTGGTCACTGGTTTATTCTCGTTGTTCTCTAGGCGGATGTGCCGCAGCTGGCTGTTGGGAACGTCCTTCACAAAAATCCACCTGACATCAAAACGTCCCTTCCACTTGTCCTGGGACCACACACCCGCACACGTGTTATAGTCCACAGCAGATTTCATTTCCGCTACTCCGCAGAAGTGACCGCTACCGTTGACACTGAACAGTAAGTAAACGGGGCCCTTCCCGTTCATGGAGCGATAGGCGGCATCCAGTCTCTTGTTGCCGTGCTCTGTACTGCACCAGATGTTATATTTAATGGAACGGTGGATATCGTCCTCAGAGTAACTCTTAATGATGAAAACCCGGCCGTGTTTTGGGTTCCAGTCAAAATCCTTGGGGTTGTAGTTGTTGATGGATCTCAACTTCTCCAAGACCGGGTGCGGCTCAGAAGGAGCAGAACCAGAACTGGCCTGAGACTGTCCCACTCCGTTACCGTCCACTCCGTTTTGACCGAACCCGTTGCCACGATTACGAGGGGCAACCCAGCGGGTGGGCTGAGCTGCCTGCTGTGGCACGGGCAGCTGGGCTGGCTGTGGTGGCGGTGGGGGCAGTGGCTGGGGCTGCTGCCCTGTGCCACCGGTGGGCTGCTATTGATCTGCTGACCCACGGGCTGGGGGGACACCTGGGCTGGCTGCTGACCAATATTCTGAACTAAGGCCTGCGACGGGGCTTTTGCCACCGGCCCTTTGTTATCCCAAGTTCCAATATCCATGTTATGCTTTATTGGAGGCGGCGGAAGACTCGAACCTGCAATGCCGTTCTTGGTCTTCAGCTTGGGCTGCTGCTTAGCCGGTTTGCTAGCGATGTCAGCCCAGGAGGTCGGCTTTGGAGGAGCGATAGTAGCCGGAGGCAAACTGTTAGATGCCACGATATTACTGGTAATGGATCCGCTACCGACAGCTGAACCAACGACTTTCGGGACGCTGCTTGCAACGTCTGTGCTGCCCAGCTTCAGAGCTGCCATCCCTTGGTCGATGGTGTTCATGCCAGGAGCCTTGTTCAGCGTCTCATTAGCGAAGGCAGATTGCCCGTCGATCATAGCTCCACCCAGCGAACTAGGGGCATAGGCATAATTGCTACTATAGCCAGAGCTTTGAGTGGATTGTCCCTGAGAACTGTTATTCCCCCAAGCCGAAAAGTCAATCCCACTTGGAAAGAAGTTAAAGCCGTGCTGCCCAAGAAATGGAGTGCTGCCAAGGGCCCCTGGCTGCCCGAACATCGCGTCTGGGAGAAAGTGAGGCTCCCCGTTGCTCAGCTGTCCGTAAGAGGTTAGGTAGGGCATGGGTGGGTCACCCCCCGTAGACCAGGCAGCTTCGCCTAAGGAGTAGGAGAATCCAATGGAGGGACTGTAGTAGTTTGGTAAGTAGGAATCGGACATTGCAGTGTATGCATTATTCTGGGGGGGGGCAAAAAAAGAAAAAAGAAGAAATAAGCACTGAATAGTAAGAACGAGTTGAACAAATTTCAAGAGACCAGGAATAAAAGCCATCTTAGACTTCCCGTGCCCCACCCCTCCCTACCTTAGGGCTGGGCAGATAAACAGGCCCAGCCTTGAAACACCTCCTTTGTTAGAAGTGCTCTAGAAAACCGTTTCATTGCCAGAAAGATTAAAACACAAAGGCTTAGCAAGCTTCCCATGCAGAGATGGGAGCGCACAGTGTTCCCGACGCGTGATGTGGGACTGGACACTGGACTGCCCCTGAGCCCCTCCTGCTCAGACTATAGAAACAGTATCTTACCTCGCATCCAAATATTACCTTCTGCTTTTTGTAGCTACTACCAAAGACGGCTTTTCTTGCCCGTGTAAGGTACTTATCAGCCCTTATTCTGGTGTTTGAGGGTGGGCTTGCGGGGAAGGACACAGAGAGAAGTGGAATATGGAGGAAAAAGCTCCAGTGGAAATGCACTGCCAAAATCATGAAGTGTCCCTGGCTGCCTTCCTTAAACTCATTACCCATGAAAACAGCTTTATCCTCACCATTTAAAGTTTCAGAGCTCATAATATTCTGAGAACTTGCAAACAAACATGGATTTAAAGCCTACTCCTCAAAACACAAACTGTTCCAGTACTGCAGGCAGATACTAAAAAAATACCTGAAAATTGGGAGTAATCAATATGGTTTCAACAGGAGCCTTTTATAGCATGGTGACAGCAGCAGCACAAGAAAGCAAAAAAGGCTTCAAATTCAGAGAGGGGAAAAAAAAACAAAACCAAAAACACTGCTCCATACCTTGGTTTCCCTTTTAACATCCAAGTAGCCTTTAGGTTACGAAAACAAATGCCTAATTTTACAATTAAGGAGCTCTCAGACATCACCAAGATTTGCTAACATGAAAAACATCTGTCATTTTGCATTCAAACCAATGCCCCCTCCGGGGAGCGGTTAAAGCCACGCTAATGGACATTATCATCCCGTAATTTGAACCTGTGTGCAGCCAGCCTCATGCTATACAGCCGCTTACATGCCAACCCAATGCAGATGAGATGAAAGTCAGGTTAGGTTCAGTTCCCATTTAAAAGCTTGGCTTGCAGCAGGCTCTACTCCATTTTTCGTTGAATCACGTTTTCACGTGCCAAGTGCAGCTCCCGAAGGACTTCATGCCATACTGAAATCTACGGAGGCTCTCAAGATGGCTCTGGCACCCTCCAGAAATAGCTGGTTTGCCTCTCCACCTTCCACTGAGTTAAAGGAAAGCAACAGGTTTGGGGCTAACCCAGTCCTAACTTTACAAAAATTAACAGGAATTATTTACCATAACGTGTTCAGAGACAAGGTTTGTTTTGTTGTATGAAACACCAAAAAGCTTTCTGTGGCACTTCATGGTGTCAGTGCATGAAAACTCAAGAGACACTCTCTCCAGCCTTTCTGGTTTCCCAAAGAAGAGGTCCCAAAAGCAAATTAATAACAAAACTAACTCTTGTCCAGGGTACAGTTCTACTAAGTGAGGAACTGGGTCCTGCTAGACCCAAATCAATGAACAGTCTTTAGGGTTCAATCTGTCCAAAAGCACGAATACTGACACTGACTAATTGGTAAGGCAAATGGAGGAACTTAAAAAAAATATTATTTTGAATCAGCAAAGTGTCTTCAAAAGATAATCCCCTCTATTATAAGAGTAACAATATATGCTCCTGGAAATTAGCTTTAATGGGAACATAAACGTGCCAGGCGATACCTAAAACCTGAGCCCAGCAGGCAGAGTCGCCGTTTCCATGCCGCAGGCTTCTCCCTCAAAGCACACAAAGCACATCACTGTCAGATTAAAACCTGTCCCCTTGTCACCTCAAGATATGTTCTTACATGCCATTCTATGTTTCACCTTGTGAGATATTTTAACATTGTCTGTATTGAGCTATTACCTGTAGAGTACTCCCCTGCTACACTCACATAGTAAGGAGGGAGCTCAGGAGTTGAACAAGAGTTAAGCACTGCCAGCTCAAAGCAGATTTAAGACAGGTTTGCTGCTGTTAACTACCTGGATGTCTAGAACTACGCTTCGCTATCAAACATGCCACCTCGCTCTGCTACCCTGCACTCGCACAACTGACACAGTCACCGATTAGTATGCAAATAAAACTTCACCAGCTTTTAATTCTCTCCAATGACTAAGGCTTTTGGTACAGTTGTTTCCTCAAATTCACTATTCCTCTTCACCTCAGACTAGAATGACAATTTAAGCTTACTTATTGTTGCTGTTGAGCTTTTGTTTTTTAAACTGCTGAAGAATCACTTACCGTGTATCTGAGCTTTAAGATACACAGTAACCTAATTTACTAGGCTGACAAGGTAGTAACAGTCGCACCTGAAACAGCAGCTCCTGAATGAAGAGCCATGAAACTTTACAACTTGGTTACCTCATGCTTATGTGGAGAGCTCAGAAAGCAATTTCAGAAACCACTCACGACACACTCTGGCAGTGGGCTGCATTTGATTCATTTTTCAGAGCTGTCTCTAACTCCCTCTCCCACCTTCAGAAAAGAGGTGCACGCTTTGATACCTTTGTATTTTTGAGCCTGACTGGTTGGCTCAGCAGAACCACAACCCTCTCCAGACTGAACCCTAGGGTTTTGTTTTCTATGATATCAAGTGTCAAAACACAGATGACAGCCAACAAGCAACACAGCACGGTGAGAAACTCCGATGAAGTTGCCCTAAAGTCTCATTCAAAGTTACCATGGCGGTTTTACCTCACTCCTGC